GCCGGTTATTACAGACGATTTGTACCGCACTACAGCCAAATCGCCGCCCCACTGACAGACCTAACCAAAAAGAAACAGCCAAATGCTGTTCAGTGGACCGAAAAGTGTCAGAAGGTCTTTAACAAGCTTAAAGCGACACTCATGTCTGACCCTGTACTAAGGGCTCCAGACTTTGACAAACCGTTCCTAGTAACCACAGATGCGTCCGAGCGTGGTGTGGGAGCAGTTTTATTGCAGAAAGGACCTGATCAAGAATTCCACCCTGTAGTGTTTCTCAGCAAAAAACTGTCTGAGAGGGAAAGCAACTGGTCAGTCACTGAAAAAGAATGTTACGCCATTGTCTACGCTCTGGAAAAGCTACGCCCATATGTTTGGGGACGGCGTTTCCACCTGCAAACCGACCATGCTGCACTGAAGTGGCTTCACACCGTCAAGGAAACTAACAAAAAACTTCTTCGGTGGAGTTTAGCTCTCCAAGATTTTGATTTCGACATCCAACACATCTCAGGAGCTTCTAACAAAGTGGCTGATGCACTCTCCCGTGAAAGTTTCCCAGAATCGACTGGTTAAAATCGTCCTTGAGATGTAGAAGATATTGTTAGTCTTTATGTACTTGGTAGTATATTTAGAGATGCATGTGTCTTATTAACTCTGTTTTTCCTAGAGCTCCAGGAAGAAACCCCAGCCAGTGTTTCACCCTAGCTGAGATTTGGGGGGCGTGTCATAAATATAAAGGGAAGGGTAAACCCCTTTGAAATCCCTCCTGGCCAGGGGAAAGCTCCTCTCACCTGTAAAGGGTTAAGAAGCTAAAGGTAACCTCGCTGGCACCTGACCAAAATGACCAATGAGGAGACAAGATACTTTCAAAAGCTGGGAGGAGGGAGAGAAACAAAGGGTCTGTGTGTCTGTCTATATTCTCATTCTGCCGGGGATAGACCAGGAATGGAGTCTTAGAACTTTTAGTAAGTAATCTAGCTAGGTACATGTTAGATTATGATTTCTTTAAATGGCTGAGAAAAGAACTGTGCTGAATAGAATAACTATTTCTGTCTGTGTATCTTTTTTGTAACTTAAGGTTTTGCCTAGAGGGGTTCTCTATGTTTTTGAATCTAATTACCCTGTAAGGTATCTACCATCCTGATTTTACAGGGGGGATTTCTTTATTTCTATTTACTTCTATTTTTATTAAAAGTCTTCTTGTAAGAAAACTGAATGCTTTTTCATTGTTCTCAGATCCAAGGGTTTGGGTCTGTGGTCACCTATGCAAATTGGTGAGGCTTTTTTATCCAACATTTCCCAGGAAAGGGGGGGTGCAAGTGTTGGGAGGATTGTTCATTGTTCTTAAGATCCAAGGGTCTGGGTCTGTAGTCACCTAGGCAAATTGGTGAGGCTTTTTACCAAACCTTGTCCAGGAAGTGGGGTGAAAGGTTTTGGGAAGTATTTTGGGGGGAAAGACGTGTCCAAACAGTTCTTCCCCAGTAACCAGTATTAGTTTGGTGGTGGTAGCGGCCAATCCAAGGACAAAGGGTGGAATATTTTGTACCTTGGGGAAGTTTTGACCTAAGCTGGTAAAGATAAGCTTAGGAGGTTTTTCATGCAGGTCCCCACATCTGTACCCTAGAGTTCAGAGTGGGGGAGGAACCTTGACACATGGAAATCAACATTTTAGTTTAAGGCTGTATCTAGATCCTGTAACAGATCTTCTAAGACAGCATTCCAAGCCTGGAAAGAAAGACACAGTGAAGAACTATGCCCTCTGTTTGAAAAGAACAAGATTCTTCCTTGCACTTGTTTATGAACAATAATTTCTTTGTGGAAACCTATTAGATAGCTAAATACGTATTTCTGGGGAAAAAGAAGAGACCATCTCAGTACTTATGGTGAACTCTAACGATACTTATTGCTTGAAGGTAACATGAAAGACACTCAATTCAGCCTCTGTGACAGCTTATATTTCCTGCTTTCTGCTCTGTCTTACATAATTAACTAGCTTCCCAAAAGTACATCCTCAACAGTATATTTGTTCAATCAAATTGAACCCTCTCCCCTCAGTTCTTATTCATGCAGAGCCCCTTTACTCTATGCTATTTTACATGAAACAGAATCCCTGTTGCTGCCTTATCTATGGTATAGCTTCTCACCACCCCATAGCCTCAAACATACCACACCTTAGCCTGAAAAGCTCACTGCAGCAAAAGTAAACCCATAGCTCCTAAAGAAACGTTTGTTTGTTTGTTTTTTAAAACAAGAGATGTTGGTGACTTCTCATTTACAGTATTAAGCAACAAGGGTTTCGAAAAGAGCTGTGTACTTGTACTCTGGTGATTCCAGAATTATTCACTCAAAGTTTGAATACAAGATCATCAGGGCTAATTGTCTAAAAACATGGTTGTCAGAAATAGCCGCCCTGTAATCTGCTATGCATTAAAATCTCGCTGCCCCCCCCCCCCCGGGTGATTGGAATCAGACCACGAGTATAACAAATACCTACACAGAATCGTTACATTCTAGCTAGGAGTGAGTTCTAGAGTTACTAGCAGACTAAAAACAAGTATGAGAAGCGTACTGTATATTCTCATCCAGACAAGATCTTAAATTAAGAACTTAAAAGGAAGCAGCCAGCATGATGTATTCTCAGTGGTCCATTTTGTGATCCTTATCCCACTGACAATGAGCATCCTTTGTAAAAGGCACATTACAAATCAATTTAACTGTATAAAATGCTATGGGAAAGGAGATCCACCCTTGGCTCCATTCCGCAGCTTCCCAGTGAAAACTTGTAGCAACACCCCATGCTAGCAATCAGCATAACCTCACCTCTACAAAGTAACCTTTTTTTGAAAAATGCTCACTTGGTGGAATGCCTAAAATGAAACCAAGGAAGCTGTATACGGTGATTGCAGAGGAAGGGAAGATTTTCCTTTTTACTCACTCGGGTTTAAAATAACATTAAGAGTTACGGTAGCAGCCTATTCTCCATCGAAAAGACAACCACCCAGGAAAAGCACCTAAGGCTTTGCCACTGCTGTTTACCATTCCAGACTGTCCTTATTCAGATAAAAATTGAATATGTATGATGGCTTGGATAATCAATGTAGATACCAGTATGCTGCTATTCATGATATTCCTTTTCACAGAGACTCTCTCTTAAAAAGGTAAATAGAATAAGCAAACAAAGTTATTTGGGGATGACCTACCAAATTCAGAGTTTCAGACTTAAAATGACATTCTCTGAAGTGTCTCTTTTAAACTAATATTACCCTCAAAACTGCACAACCTTGGTTCGCACAGCTGCTTAAGCAAAATGTGAACAAATCTGGAAATATAAATCAATGGTAGTCCTTACATGAGAATTTAAAAAAAAAAAAAACAACTCACTGCAGAAAACTAACTCAAAGACCCACCAAGAGTCTTCAACAAAAGGAAGAAAATGCTTTCCTCAGACAGTGACCCCTAAGGGCTCAACATAAAATTAAGAGATGTCATTATTCTAACTGAAAGTAGTTTTCTGAATCTGTATTTGCAGACTATTCCACAGGGAATACATTGTGCAGTAACAGGAACTGGTAGCCTAGCCAGAGATTCAGTGATATCTACAGTAACTAGATGGCAAAATGAATCTTGCAGGAGATGGACGATGGAAATATAGAGTGGTAAACAGAGCTGTTTCCTTTTAAATAAAAAAGCACTGTTAATGTCATGATGGTCGAACATTAATATTTAGGAAATGCTGTCAGATTGTTTACAGGTGTAAAAAGCATCACTTTCCCCCACCTCTGTAAAGTCATGGAGACTAAAACCACAATTTGTGCTTACAAAACACAAGGCACAGAACTGTGAACACAGATTCACAAACCTTGAGGGTTGTTCTACTTTTTAAATGATTAAATACTAGTTTTTCTGGTCGCATTTTTCAATATTTCTGAAAACTAACAACATACAATGTCGGTGGCGTGCAGACATTTAATATGTTATCGTATACATCTCACATGAGCTTCAGTATGCAAGAATGGATACCCACTGACCCAATATTAATGGGTGGGCACTGATGCCTTTGTGTCTGCAAATTAGCAGTGTGTGTATATCTCTAGGCAGCTGTTTTTTCCAGTGCTCAATCTCTCACCTCTCTCTGGTTCAGTCCTTTAGTCTTCCTAACTGGATTTACATTTTACTATCCAGTGTTCTCTACTGAAGCTTTAAGCACTAGTTAAAGCTGAAAATGCCCCTTAGCCCATAAAGCCTGTAGAATATTGTAGCTGTTTCAGGCTTAACTCTGTCCTTTCATTGTTACACCAACATGAATGGGTCTCCAGCTCTGCAGAAAATAAACGCAAGGATCTTCATTCAGTCACTAATGATCATCTCTGCCTTCAGACCCAAAGTGAGGGAAGAAGGCAGGCTTAGAAAAAAGAAAAAAAAAACACTTTTCTTCTGAGATTACATATTTCACTAATAACCATGCTTTACAAAAAAGTCCCTAAAACTGGAATTGTTCAGCTGCTTGCAAAGGAAGCTGTCAAGTAAACAAAAGAAAAACCCAATTAAACTTTTTGTCACAGGATGAGCACTGATGTGTATGTACTATATAGATAGCACTGAATTAGGTCTATAACACACAACAGCATCATATGCGTTTTACAGGCATAAGACACAGTCCTTGACACAGTCCTTGAGTTCACAGTCTAAACAAACAGGATGCAATGCAGTGTCTTTTAAAAATCCCATTTTTTTCCCTAAAGGTTGGTTAGTTTTTATCATTGTAACCCCAACTATAGCCTCTATGATCATTTAATCATTCTGAGCCTACAGTTCTTTCAGAGCAATTTCCAGCACCCCTGGGCATCTGCTGCATCCCTCTGCCAGCATAGGATGTAGAGAAGGCTACTTGCTAGATACAGCTCTCGCCTCAGTAGGGCTAAGCGAGCCCTAGATGTAGCAGGCTGGTCAGACGCGCCACGGACAAGCATTTCCTAGGAGCAGCGGTACCTCACTTCACTTACATGCCCTGCTGAAGTTGCAGCGATGCAGCCAGGGTCCAGGACAGACACAGCAGCCAGGCTCTCGGGGTCATCTCGGGGATCAAGGGCTGCCAACCGCCAGCTGCAAAAGTTGAGCGGGCTCAGCAGGAGCTAGCATCGGGCAGGGGCAGAGACGATGGCTGCTGGAGCAGGTCGTGGTCCGGAGCAGAGCCGCCGGAGCCCAAGGGTGCTGAGCGGGTGCTTCCTCCGAGGCTGCGGTGTTGGGCGCCGGCCGCTCTCAGCTCCCCCGCAGCCCCGGCTGCGTGTGATCAACAGGCTCCATGGAGCCCCGCACCTCCCGGGCGCAGCGCTCCAAATCCTTCAAAGCCGCCGCAAAGCAGCAAATCACCGGCCTCGCAGCCTCCTTGCCAAGCCCAGCCCAGCCCAGCGCACCGCCCTGCCCTCCCGCGGCCGGGCTGGGCAGGGCTCGGCTCGGCAAATCTGAGCGCTTTTACCCGCAACTTCTTTTGGGGGCGGGCAGCACTAACTCCGCTTTTACACCCGGACCTGCCTCCGCAACCCCGCCCCCCAGTGCTCCCTCCCGCTCCCCCCCGCCCACACACCCCGCCCCAGTGCTTCTTCCCGCTCCCCCCACCGCTCACACCCCCCCGCCCCAGTGCTTCTCCCACTCCCCACCCTCACACCCCCCGCCCCAGTGCTCCCTCCCGCTCCCCCCCCTGCCCCAGTGCTCCCCTCCCCCCCGCTACACCCCCCCCCCCCACCGCCTCCCCCACCGCCCCAGTGCTTTTCCCTCCCCCACAGCTCACACACCCCCCCAGTGCTTCCCGCTCCCCACCACCCCCCCACCCCAGTGCTTCCCTCCCCCCACCGCCTCCCCCCCCCCAGTGCTCCCCCCGCCCCCCACCGCTCACACACCCCGCGCCAGTGCTCCCTCCCGCTCCCCCACGCCCCACCGCTTACACCCCCGCCCTGTGCTTTTCCGCTCCCCCCCCCCCCCCCCCCGTGCTTTCCCTCCCTCCGCTCACCCCCCCGCCCCAGTGCTTCTTCCCGCTCCCTCACCGCTCACACCCCCGCTCCCCACTTCCCCCGCCCCTCCTCTCCCCCACCCCAACACCCCCCCCACCCCCCCCCCCCCCCCCCCACCCCGCCCCAGTGCTTCTTCCCGCTCCCCCACCGCTTACACCCCCCCCCCAGTGCTCCCCTCCCGCTTACACCCCCCGCCTCAGTCTTCCCCCACCGCTTACACCCCCCGCCCCAGTGCTTCTTCCCGCTCCCCCCACCGCTTACACCCCCCCCGCCCCAGTGCTCCCTCCCGCTCCCCCCCCGCTTGACACCCCCCGCCCCAGTGCTCCCCCTCCCGCTCCCCCCACCGCTCACACACCCCGCCCCAGTGCTCCCTCCCGCTCCCCCACCGCTTACACACCCCGCCCCAGTGCTTCTTCCCGCTCCCCCCCACCCCCCAGTGCCTTCCCTCCCAACCCCCCCCCCTGCCCCAGTGCTTCCCCCCCCCCCCGCTTCCCCCCCGCCTCAGGCCCGCCTACACCCCCCAGTGCTTCTTCCCGCTCCCCACACCCCCCACCAGGCTTCTTCCCCTCCCCCACCACACACCCCCCGCCCCAGTGCTCCTTCCCGCCCCCCCCACCAGCTACACCCCCCTCCCCAGTGCTCCCTCCCGCTCCCCCACCGGCTACACTCCCACCCCAGTGCTCCCTCCTGCTCCCCCACGCCTACACCCCCAGTGCTCCTTCCTGCTCCCCCCACTACTTACACACCCCCCGCCCAAGTGCTCCCTCCCGCTCCCCCCACCGCTTGCACACCCCCCGCCCCAGTGCTCCTTCCTGCTCCCCCCACCGCCTACACACACCCCTGCCCCAGTTCTCCCTCCCCTCCCCCCACCGCTTACAAACCCCCCCCCGCCCCAGTGCTTCTTCCCGCTCCCCCCACCGCTTACACACCCCCCGCCCCAGTGCTTCTTACCGCTCCCCCCACCACTCACCCCCCCGCCCCAGTGCTCCCTCCCGCTCCCCCACTGCTTACACCCCCTGCCCCAGTGCTCCCTTCTGCTCCCCCACCGTTTACACACACACCCCACCCCAGTGCTCCCTCCCGCTCCCCCACCCTCCACCGGCTACACCCCTGCCCCAGTGCTCCCTATCCTCCCTCACACCGCTTACACCCCCCGCCCCAGTGCTGCCGCTGCCCCTTCCCCCCTCCACCGCTTACACCCCCCCCACCCCAGTGCTCCCTCCCACTTCCCCCACCCCCAACTGCTTGCACCCCCCCGCCCCAGTGCTCCCTCCCACTCCCCCACCGCTTACACCCACCAACCCAGTGCTCCTTCCCACTCCCTCCACCGCTTACACCCCCTGCCTCAGTGCTCCCTACAGCTCCCTCCCACTGCTTACACCCCCTGCCTCAGTGCTCCCTCTCCCTCCCCGCACTGCTTACACCCCCTGCCTCAGTGCTCCCTCCCCCACACCACTTACAACCCTGTCTTAGTCCTTTCTTGCACACACCCCACTCACAATTCACATGACTCAAACACAGCCCACCACAGGTGTTGGAACTAGGGCCGCTGCTGCATCCCCTGGCGTCAAGTGGTTTCCATCATACACAGGGTTTCCAGTTTGGCTAAATGGCTCTCAGCACCCCGACTGTACAAATTGTTCCAGCACCCCAGCCCATCCTCAGGCACTCATCCCATGCACTCAGACTCACCCGGCAGCGGGACCAACACTCCCCACTCTGGTCTTAGCTCTTCTATTGCCCCCCACGTCACTGGAACAAGTGTCACCTCAGCCTTCCCTCCCCGATGCACACAGAACACAACCCCTCAAAACTCAAAGGCACCCCACACTCCCTAGCAGCGAGGGCCCACCCACCTCAGCTGTCACAGTGCACAACACTATGAACATACGTACCACTGACAGCACATCAAGGAAGAAAACAAAATACAGAACGTTGGCCCTTTCCATAAGGAAAACATAACAAAAATACAACACAGTATGTTGAGACACAGGTATCAAGTTATATTACTGAGAGAAATCATTAAGGGCCCAATCCTGCAATCGCTTACACCTGTGTAACTTTACTTGCCTGAGTTAAACCAATAAGACCACTCACAGGAATAGCTGTTGCTGGAATAGCACCTGATAAACATTAGACAAATTATTAGTATTAAATAAGTGCTTTACGAACAAGGACTAAAAGTGGGCCTTGTTATAACTACAGCTGTTAGCCCAGTTATAAACAATTCTAATTATTTTTGGACTGATTAAGGAGGAGTCAAGTTGAGTCTCCATTTGAAAGAGAGTTGAAATCAAAGAGGTACGATCTTTTTGTTCTCTTTGTACAGTACCTATCACAATGGGGTCCTGGCCTATGACTGGGGCTTCTACACACTACAGCAATACAAAGGATAATACTACTGTACTATCAAGCCTCACCTCTCACACCTGCAATCCCATCTTTTGCCATTTCTACTGCCAATTCTCTGTCTCAACAGCTAGCCTGGGAGACAGAAAGAAGACGTACAGCGCAATGCTGTTGTCCTGTATTCCCTCTCCCCTTCTCTGCTCCTCCCTTTTCTCCTGTGTTGTTTTGTCCACCTCCCCTCTCACCTGTGAACTCCCTGCATCTCTTCTTGTGAGAGGTCACTTCACTTCCCCACCTATAAAGAGGCATCTCCTAAACCCAAATTGCTGCTACAGCTTGCTTTATAGTGTGCAACAATGAATGCGGCACACAACACACAGCTGGAATTGGGGAGGGATTTGTTCCTGTAATAACACATTCAGTTATCTATAATCTCATTTGCATGGTGATTTTGCAGCTACGGGGAGAGGAGAGCTATCCATTTCCTACGCCCTCTATCTACTACTGGATGCCAGGCAATAGGCTCTTCTTTCTCCTGGTTGCTAGACGAAACCTGTTTCTCCCCTTTATGGGGCTGGCTCCTGGATGCCAGGGCCCCAAGAGAGGGTTCTCTCCCCATCACTTCTCTTTCATTCTTACTCTTCTGGATGCTCCTACATTCTATGTATGGTACTTACATGGCCCACTCTACAATTGCATCTGAGCTCTTCACAAATTTAAGAAAAGGAGGACTTGTGGCACCTTAGAGACTAACAAATTTATTAGAGCATACGCTTTCGTGAGCTACAGCTCACTTCATCGGATGCTGTAGCTCACAAAAGCTTATGCTCTAATAAATTTGTTAGTCTCTAAGGTGCCACAAGTACTCCTTTTCTTTTTACAGATACAGACTAACATGGCTACTACTCTGAAACCTGTCACAAATTTAATACATCCATTTTCACGACACCTATCCCCATTTTACAGATGGAAAATTGAGGCACAGAGAGACTGAGCTCCAAATTTTAAAGGCATTTAGGCATGTAAAGTTGCAAATAGGTGCCTAACTACCTTTTAAAGAAAGCTGACTGTGAGGGTATGTCTACACTGCAATTAGACACCCGCAGCTGGCCCATGCCAGCTGACGCAGGCTCGTAGGACTGTGGGGCTGTTTAATTGCAGTGTAGACATTCCAGTTTGGGCTGCATCCCAAGCTCTGGGACCCTCCCAGCTTGCAGAGGAGGAGACCAGGTTCCAGCCCGAGCCCAGACATCTACACTGCAATTAAACAGCCCCACGAACCCAAGTTTGCTGGCATGGGCTAACCACGGGTTTTTAATTGTAGACATATCAAAAAAGCGAACAGAATGTTGGGAATCATCAAGAAAGGGATAACTAATAAGACAGAAAATATCATATTGCATCTATGTAAATCCATGGTACGCTCGCACCTTGAATACTGTGTACAGAAGTGGTCGCCCAATCTCAAAAAAGATATATTGGAATTGGAAAAGGTTCAGAAAAAGGCAACAAAAATGTTTAGGGGTATAGAACGCCTTCCGTTTGAGGAAAGGTTAATAAGACTGGGACTTTTCAGCTTGGAAAAGAGGCGACTAAGGGGGCATATGATAGAGGTCTATAAAATCATGAGTGGTATAGAGAAAGTAAATAAGGAAGTGTTATTTACTCCTTCTCATAACACAAAAACAAGGGGCCACCAAATTACATTAATAGGTAGCAGGTTTAAAACAAACGCAAGAAAGTATTTTTTCACACAATGCACTGTCAACCTCTGGAACTCCAACAGACGGTGTTGTGAAGGCCAATACTATAACGGGGTTCAAAAGGGAGCTAGATGGATTCATGGAAGATAGGGCCATCGATGGCTATTAGCCAGGATGGGCAGGAATGGTGTCCCTAGCCTCTGCCAGAAGCTGGGATTGGGTGATAGGGCATGGATCACTTGATGATAACCTGTCTGGTCATTCTTTTCGGGGCACCTACCATTGCCACTGTCGGAGGACAGGATATTGGGCTTGATGGACCTTTGGTCTGACCCAGTATGGCCATTCTTATGTTCTTATATCCTAAGTTACTTACCCAACAAGGTCATACAGGAAGTCTGTGGTGCAGGGAATTGAAAACAGGTTTCCCAAGACCCAGGCAAAAATCCTATC